AATAAATACTTTCCTTTATTGTAGGTGCTGGGGATTGAATCTAGGACCTTGTAGCATTCGAGGCAAGCATCCTACCAACTGAGCTATATCCTCAGCCCAATATTTTATCTCTTCTCTTCAAAGCCACTACCTTTTTGAGTACAGGGCCTATGTTTTATTTATTCTGTGAAGTCACTCACACATGGTAGGGAATCACTTTTTTTAAAAATTGAATTAAATTGGATGAAGGTACTGACCTCTAGTCCTCAATTTAGAGAGTAGACTGTACGTGTTTCCTCTAGGAGTAAATTGGTGCAAAGAGTGAAAACTAAGTCCTGTCTTTAGGATTCATGATCTCAGAGAAGTAGGAGTTGCTTTTCTGGTAGTTGATAGCTGGAAAGATTATCAGGTTAAGGGCCAAGAGCATTTGTTAAATGTGTATAATTTGCCACCTTCAAATATGGCATTATACAATGAGGTCCCTTTGTATATTGCAGATTTGGAATGGATATTCTTACCCTTTTCCTTAGTAGTAAAATGTAACTATTTTTAAGCTGTCAAGAAAGTATTTTTGGTATCTTTTGAGTTGGTCAAATCCAATGAAGTACTTTTGGATTGACATATCTGCCAAATCTACATAATATGCTTTAAATTATTCATGATATTTGTAGAGGTCCTCATGGCTAAAGAGACAAAGGGATAAAACATATGTAAATGATTATTAACAGTGCTGTGATAGATTTTCATATGTGAAAATAGTAATGTTTTGAAATATTAATTTTGAGTTAATAATATTATCATTAACATGGTATTAGTGTTCAGAATATATTTTAAAACTCATTGCCAAATAAATGTTTATTTTATATTAAAAAGGTCAAAGTGAAGAACTTTGAGATCTAAGCCAGAAGCATACTCCTGAAAAAGCCAGGACTGAAAACTTTGTTTTCAATATCAGTGTTGGCAATAATTTTTGTTTTCTTCAAATATAATCAATATTAAATGGCCTTTTCTCTAAGATAAACATTGTATTAATGTGCATATTTTAACTCTTAGGGCTTCAAATAGCAAAAGAAGGCAGGAACATAAAGTAGTTGTTGAAGCCATGCTGATATGTGCCACAGTCTGGCTAGGCACAAAATCATGAGCCACTCAAGTAGGAACAAACTTTATTTTTTGAAACTGCCGCCATTGCCCCATACGCCCCCAGGAAGAATCCCGATCAACCCACGCGGTGTTCTCCCAGAACCCCAGAGGAAGTTCCTTCCCCGGAATTCCCTCCTACCATACTTCCCCAACCAATGGGAGCTCTCCAGGAGTCCCAGCAGGCCAAGGTGAACAGCAGCAGTCCAATATCCATATGAATGCAAATCTTAACATAATCATATCATCTCAATGGCTAGCTGGCGTCACCTTTCAACCCAAAATGCCATGCATCATATTACTTGGCTGTGGCTCTTAGCAGATATGTACACTTGAGAATTAGTTAAAATAGAGGTCAGCTGGAGTTTCAGGGTGCAGGATGGATCCAGGAAGGAAGCACACCCTAGTGGCTATGTTCCTTTCCCATTGGTCATAACATGAGTAATTAGAGAGGAAGTTGGCTCTTCTGTTTAGTGTTTTCTGTAGTTTCTGTGTCTGTATGGTTGGTTTATGGCCAATCCCTACTCTTATTTAATTCATCAGAGAGGAAAATTCCACTTTAATATTATTGGATCTGACAGTAAGTAACATTAATAGCATAGTACCTCACACATAGTAGCACTGACTAAGTGAAAATCAGACTATTGTCTCGTTCCAGTAGGGTGCATAGAATACACCTTGGACAAATTCAGTTTTGCAATATTAAACGTGTTGCTTGAAATCATGGATGTCAAATTATACTGAAGTGATCTCACTGGGTTTCTAAATGAGAGCTGCTCAATAGTGACTCTGGTGAGCTGGAGTATGCAGTTGCTTCCTGTTTCAGAGATACCCAATCCATTTTTTTTTTTTTTTTGATAGCAGGGATTTAACCCAGGGGCACTTAACCTCTGAGCCACATCCCCATCCCTTTTTACTATTTTATTTGGAGACAGGGTCTCCCTGAGTTGCTTAGGACCTTCCTAAGTTGCTGAGGCTGACCTTGAAGTCGGGATACTCCTGCCTCAGTCTCCCAGGCTTCTGCCACCAAACCCAGCCTAATCTAATCCAAATAATTTTTAATTATTTAGGGCCCAAGAAAACTTTCCTGTAGTGAAAAAAACTCCAGTCTGGGAGAAATAGAAAATTTACCTGGACTAATTTTCATGAAGTATACTGCCAGCAAATTCTCTTAGCCTCCACCAAGGATACACCAGAATCTCCAAGGCAGATAATATGTATATGAAAGAATGTTTCTCATGCAACTTGGATTTCCTTTTCTCTTCATTTTCTTTCCACCTCCAAGTTTGAAAACCATTGGGAAAGCTGAGCAGTAATATTCTACAGTTTCTTAATAAAATTTCCACTGTCTGGTGATTTTTCCCAGATGTTAATCTGTTTTATAGATATCTTCATTGGGATTTGCTTAGTATATGGATATGTTCTCTCAGGGTATGGGCATTAATTCTTTTAGAATTTTTTTATGCCTTTATTTTGTTTATTTTTATGTGGTGCTGAGTACTGAACCCAGTGCCTCACTTATTTGAGGCAAGTGCTCTACTGCTGAGCCACAACCCCAGTCTAGTATAGGTATTAATTCTAAGGTATTTTATAAGACAGAGGTGATAGGTTAAATAAGGATCATTTTCCCTTTCTCCACTTTCTTTTTTGCCAGGCTAGTATTTGACATCTTGGATCAGAGACCTTAAGAAATAATGGGCTTCCTTGATCTTTAGAAGTAGATGGTCTGCAGTAATCTGGGTAAGTCCTCTTACACTGTAGAAATGGTAGCTCTGGCATGTAGTAGGCAACTAAGCAATAGTTGTTCCAGGAAAGTATCTTCATGGGTTCATAATATATTATAGATAATATTATAGTTAAAAATATATTATAATAATGTATTATAGAAAAACACAGATTAAAAGTAATTTAAATACAATTTTATTTAAATTTTGACTCTTGGAATAAAGAGTTTTTACAACTTATAATTTAAATTCATTTAGAAGAAATATAACTAATGTCTTAGAACTTAATTATAGTTTTTGGAATAGCATTCCTAAAAAGAAGTTATCATTTTTGTTCTAATAAATTATTTGTGATTTCTGGCTATTGTCATTAGTTTGTGTAAAAAGTCAAGTTGGGTCCTAATCAGTTAATTTCTAGTTGGGAATTTTGTCATTTAAGTCCTTGATATTATCTTGATGTGCTGTGCACAAAGTAGTTTCACAAGTAATAGCAATCATTATGACATGAGAAACAAATATATTCTCATAGCCTATTGTAAGAATTGTACTAAAAATGAAAACAGATAAAAGTTATCTGCAAATGCCATAATTTTATTCTCTTTTAATGCTGAGTAATATTCCATTTTTTTAATCTATTCATCTATTTATTGAAGGGCATCTAGGTTGCTTCCACAGTTTAGTTATTGTGAATTGAGCTGCTATAAATTTTGATGTGGCTGCATTACTATAGTATGTTGATTTTAAGTCCTTTTGGGTATAGATCGAGGAGTGGGATAGCTGGGTCAGATGGAATTGGAGAATATTATGCTAAGCGAAGTAAGCCAATCCCAAAATTCCAAAGGTTGAATATTCTCTCTGATAAGTGGATGCTGATCCATAATGGGAAGATAGGGTATGAGAAAAAATGGAGGAACTTTGATTGGGCAAAGGGGATGGAAGAGAGGGGAGGGTGCATGGAAAAAAGATGGTGGAATGTGAAGGACATTATTATCCTAGGGACATGTATGACTGCACAAATGGTGCAATGCTACATTGTGTACAGAGAAATGAAAAGTTGTGGCGCAGTTGTATATGACAGCAGAATGCATTCTGCTGTCATATACACCTAATTAAAATAAACTAAGAAAGATTACCTGCAATTCTAGCTACATCAAACACTATGAAAAATTTAGCGTATTGTTAAATATTATTTAATATTCACTCCTGCTGATTAAAGGTTATACAATCAATGATAGTTAAAATTTAAGTTATCTTTATAACTTCAGTCATTCTCTTTTAACTCATGAGTGCTTTTTACCCCTTTTCATTTGTAACCTCATACTTGTACTGTGATTCAATGATATATGGGTTTCATTTCTTAATGTACTCTGGATCTATAAGCAATTTTAGGAAATAATGTGTAGCCACCCAATGACCATCATTAACTACTTTTCCGTACAGAAAATCTTCTTTGACTCTTTCCCTTCCATGGATTATTACATAATCTAATGACATACTAACTAGAATCAAATGACATACTAATTTTGAAGATACCTTACCTGAATTAAAAGACCTAAGGTACTCTTTTAAAGCAAAGGGTACATACTTGGGCTACTCTTATCAGATTTAATGTTTTTTAGTATGTTTTTATATATCTTGATTATTGCTATTATCAAAATATTTTCTGTCCCTATAATTTTTATTGGAAAATCATAAAAAACATTTCATTTTTAATTGTATATGACATATATATTTTTCATAATTCATATATTGAAAATATCTGTTCAATTCTTATTGAGTCAACAGTAACTTAAATGTTTGATTTTATTTTTGTTAGAAATACTTTAGTCTCACTAAGACACACTAATTTTGAGGACACCTTACCTGTTTTGAAAGACCTCAGGTACTCAGAGCAGAACACCTAGTAAACCTTGTTAATAGCATCTTGTTTGAACTATGTCTCATATGGGATTTTGGAAATGAAGTAAGTTGCCTCAAAGTGTCAAATCAGACCCAGCTGGTTGAGGCCGGATTGAACTTGTCTGTATAAGAAGTTAGCATCTTAGGTAAAATTCTTAATGCCCATTAGGAAATATTGCATGCTGTATTTTACACCAGTAGCCAGGTGTGGGCAGTGATAACAGGGCTTGAGGGATCTCTCTTACCGGCCCAGGGATCCAAGGCATTCAGTGCAAAACCTGGCCAGCAGCCCGAGTGAGTAGGAGCCATGTGACTCTGGTGAGTTGGAGTGTGCAATTGCCTCCTGCTTCAGAGCTACCTGATCCGAATACTAAGCAGAGCGAGTGCCGGGCTGAGTGTAAGACACTGAAGACACTGCAGAGCAAGGTGCTTATTCCAGAGGCATTACAAAACATGGAGATTAAAGACCAGGGAGCCCAAATGGAGCCGCTGTTGCCTACGGTAAGAGACTACCTGCTGTCAAATAGATTAACTGCTTTGCTGCAAAACCTGTCAGGCAAGTGGTCTGCTAGCTAGGTGCAGTGAGTGTACTTTTGGGGTGGTGGATAGCTTCCTTGACATATGGACAGGGGTCTCCTCCCATCTCCGGAGACTGAACTGCATAAAGCAAAGCACATGATTGTTTCCCCCTTCTCAATATGGATGCACTATGGTGATGAAATGTCTCATGTTTGTTGCTGTTTGAAGAAATGGCTGGGTTTTAGCAGCAGGGGCAGTTCTGTGTCTCTTTCCCGTTCTGTTACTGCCTATCTTTCTGTTTCTCAGGTTGTGCAGTGGAGACTCAAGCCCCTGCAAAGAAACCCCCTTTTATCCCATTTAATTCCTGATAAATTTTCTTCCCATGCCTCATCCTTAGGCAGTGAGGTGAGGGAATCTGCTGCTGTGGCAGCTCTAGAGATTTAGTCTCCGCAGAAACCAAAGGAAAGGCGTGTGTGTGTGTGTGTGTGTGTGTGTGTGTGTGTGTGTGTGTGTGTGTGTGAGTGAGAGAGAGAGAGAGAGCAAGAGACAGCCAAAGACAATAAATTATGCAAAGACTTCCCCACTGACTACTCCTATTTAACATCATACAGAAAGTCCTAGTTAATGCAGTAAGACAAAAAAAAAA